AATTCTTAAGAAATATCTACTAAACATGCAGAGGGAGAGGAATGCTTTTATATATCCTACAGAGGAGGGAACAAGGACAGAGAGTATTTATAATTCAAAGTGAGATCATGGCATTTCAAGTGAGGAGGAATATTGGAAGGTCATGCTGATTTTCAGAAAGCTGTTGGGCAAGTTTAGAAAGCAATTGGAAAAGTGTATCTAGTAGCTACTTCCTTGACAGACACTAGGAGAAAGAATCTCAAAGAAGGCAGATTTCTGGGTCCTTGTCAAGGTGCTGACCTACCTCTCCCAAGAACAAATGTAACTGAAAGACAATGTAAATATGGGCTTACTGATATTGGAAAGTCTAATTTTATAGTACAAGGGGGATACATAAACCAATGATGATGAACACGTGAGATGAACTAGAAGATGTCTGTCTGTGTCATTAAGGGAGGTTGTGGGAATCTTCAATACCTGTGGAAAAACGCATGATCTAGAGATTGCCATTTGCGAATAGTTTCAAGAATGGACATATGATTGTTCTGAGACCCCCAACAACTTTGGGAAACACGAATGTTCAAAAATTTCTTTGTAAAGAAAAGAATTCTTTGCAAAGAAACTTTCACATGAGTTTACAAACTAACAGTTTAGTGCAGAGATATAATCATGATTTCATTTTATCCTCCTGACCCTTCAGAGAGTTTCTTATTTCCCATTTTATAGAGAGTGAATCAGTGCAGAGAATTTAAATTACTTGATCTGCCAGTTATCGGTGAGCACAAAATAGGAGGCAGTACTAAACATTGGTGGTACCGACAGAAGCTGATGCTTTGACCTCTGGACCTCATTTTGGTGACTGCTATGTCTGCAGTGACAGAGGGTCTGTTGTCACAAATGAGGATCGCTAAGTATGGAGTTCAGATATACCATAATATTTATTTTATTATAGCTAATCATTGAAACAATTTATAGAGGTAAAGGACAACAGTAGCTCCAAACCTATGTACTTCTTGGTGGAGTTATAAAAAAGTGGTGGCACAGGCGGTTGAGTGCAGCACTGTGAAGCTGTCCATGGCCTCTTCAGTGCAGGTTCAATTCCCGGCCAGCCAGGGAGATACCCACATGGCACAGCAGACCTCTCCTGTCTCGCCCACTGCTCCCCTCAGCAGTGTATTTCAGTCAGTCTGCCTGTTGTGTTCCCCATTCTGTCTCTGGTGAATCCTCTCACCCTCCCGCACATCTGGCCTGTACCCTGGTTCCTGTATGCATGAATAAATAAATCTTAAAAAAAATAATAAATAAAATTAAAAAGTTATAAAAAAAAGCACTTTTTATTCAAAGTCTTGGTTTCCTGTTGAAAGACTCTGAAGAAAACTCTGGATAATTTCACAGGAAGTATTTCGAATTCACTTAAGCGTACCTGCATTGTGCTGATGATTAATAAGATTACTCATCTCAAATCAATCATCTCAATAAAAGCTGTTGGTATCACCCGTGTTGCAAGGTACTGTTTAAATAAGAGGGGAATGAAGACATGTGGTCCTGTGCATCCTACCCAGTGTCTGTCATTACCATTATCTTCCCAGTTAACAGTGCACAATATCCCAGAAGTCACTTCGTCTTTCTGGGCCTCAGTTTTTCATATGTCAAAGGTTGATACTGGATTATATAGTTGGTAAAGTTCCCCCTGATTCTTAGCTTATATGATAATATAGAACAGGATCCCTGTCCAGTTTGAAAACATATGTATCTGCTTACTTTAAACCAGTGTCAGAGCTGGAACTTCAAATGCCATTAAAGAAGATGAAACTAGAAATAACTACCTGTGTTAGTAGGAGCCTGAAACTTCCAAGAGATATGTTCAAACTAGGAAAGTACAGAGCATGTGTACATTACACGGATGTCTCAGTGCTGGCAGAGCCACTAAAGCCAAGATGCAGAATGCTGGATTTTTAAATCACAAACATATACTCCACTTCAGTCATAAAAAGACATATTTTGCTGGTGCTGTCCCAGTCAACCTGCACGGGAACCAGTGGATGGTGAAGGTGGCATAGCTGGCCTCCGCTGCTGAATGTCCCCAACTGCTCACAATCTCTAAAATTCACTTTCATTTTCAAAGGGAAAAACCCAACCTGATTCTTGAAAGAGACCATGGATCCCTCTTAATGTTGGCAATCTGGACATGGACACAGAGGGGAGACTCAAAGGAGGCAGGCTTGGAGTTTTCTGGCACTGATTCAGCTCATTGTTTTCTTTAAAACTTAAAATCCTACCTCCAAGGTAGTCCACAAAGCTCACTGAAAATGTCAAACAGACATGAGACCATAAAGTCCAGTAAACCTACATTTTTACCTCCACTTACGGAAAAAAGTAAAGGTTACGCATGCACACAGATCCTATGGGGTAGCAGCAACCTCACCATTCAGAAAGATTAAAGAGTTCAGTGAAAGATATTTCCCCTCTCAGACAAACAAAATAAACACATCAAGTACTCGCTGCTTTAGTAAAAATCCTTAGTTGAACAGGCAAACAATTATGAGATAAGAAATTTAAGAATAAGCCAAAACTTTGATGTTTTACAAACAAATACTTTGTTTTAAAAATACTCATTCACCAAAACAGAAATAATTAGTTTTATGTCTAAACAACATGTTACCAAGCATCCAGAGAGAGAAACAAAAGGGGTAATCAGTGATCTGAAAAGAAATAGAGAACCAAAGTAAGTGTACTATGATAAATTGCATTAGAAAACATTCAGTGGAGCTCCGTGGTTAGTCAGAGACAGCTTTTTGAAAAGAGAGAAATGGAGGCTAATTTTGGAAGACGGAAATTATTCTTTTGCCTTTCACAGAGGTACAACCATCTTTTGTTTCTCCAGATGATATTTTATTTATTTATTTTTTTTAATAGAGGCATGTTTTTATTTATTTATTTGTTTGTTTTGTTTATACATGCACTGGGTACAGTCAGAAGCACGGGAGGGTGAGAGAATTCACCAGAGCCAGAGCGGGGAGCAGAACAGGCAGAAGGACCGAAGGACACTGCTGAGGGGAGCAGCGGGCGGCAGGAGAGGTCTGCGCGCCATGTGGGACCCTCCTCCGGTGGCCGGGGAGCAGCCGGGGATTGAACCGGCGCCGCGAGGCCGCGGGCAGCTTCGCAACCCAGCGCTCTACCGCTGCGCCACCGGGGAGGCCCCAGATGATATTTTAAAAGCCAGTTAGCCTATCCAGAAAACTTACTTCCATCCCGTATGAACCAAATTGCAGGGGGAACACATTTTATAGTATATCTGTTGATTTCTTGCCTGTAACTAAAGGTTTTATTAGAAAATTCAAATTGTTTCATGTACTCGGTCCTCCTAAAAGATTTACTGTGGTATTTAATTGTTAATGGGACCACAAATTACTTCTAATGAAGCTGAAAGGTGAAAAACATTGATCATGGCTTTGATTCATAATTCAAGTCATTGAGAAAATCTGATTTAACAGAAAAACTGCATTCAGATGTAGCCATCTTTTTGTCTGTAAAGCACAGCTGATTTCATAATCATAATGTAATTTGAGATATGAACCAATGGGTGAACTCCACCATAATTTAATAATAAAGAGTTGACGATAATATCATTCAATATTATACACTTGTTATAACATTTCCTCAAGTTCTCTTAGATTTGAGTTTCTCAACATCCTGTTGGGTCAGGTAGAGTTGGATGCTGTTCATGCTGCTTTAGAGAAAAGGGAAAATAGAGCCTAGAGCTGGAAAACCACCGGGCTAAGCTCACATAGCAAATCAGTGCAGAATCAAGTGTCAAGATCAAGGCAGAATCAAGTTGTCCCTTGGAGTCCATGGCAGAATTGTTTCCAGGACCCTGCAGGATACCAAATCCAAGGATCTGGAGTGCTGAGTGTTCTTTACTTTTTCCTCAACATCCCATATACTCTTTTCAAAGCACTAAGGCAGAGAGGTAGCAACAGTGGTAGCCATAGGCACAAGATAAGAGCAGCTCTCATTTGTTGAGGGCTGTGTGTCAGGCCCAATGCTGAATGTGATGCATTTATCATCTGATTTTGAACAGATGTCATCTTACGTTAAGGTTAGGGGACAGAGGCCCAGGGCACAAGGACTGTGACTTAGATCACATGGCCAGTGAGAAGCACAGTTGTGACTCAACCGCACATCTTATTGCTTGAGAATCTCAAACTTGTTCTCAGTGGTGGCCTCACATTTCAAGTCCTGGAGTCGCTCGCTGCTCAGGAGCCTCCTTTCTCAGTGAGGCCTACTGTGATGTCCATTTGTAACTGCAGCCCCCGCCCCCACCCTGCCAAAGCGGATGCCACTAAACCTGCTCTACCTCATGATTTAATTTTTTGGTTTGTTTTTCATGCTGACTGTTCCACCGGGCAAGGATCTTTGGGCTTTCTCAATGTATTACAGAGGTTCAGACAGTGTTTTCCGTAAGGATGGCCATGTTCTATTTCTGTGTTCTACGGCAGCCACTTGCCAGAAGAGCGAACCCGAAGAGTGGTTAGTGAAAATGAAGGACTGAATCTAATTTTACCTAATGTTATTACTTCAGTTTAAATGGACTCATGTGACTAATGGTTAGCAGATTGCACGATGTTAGCCTAAAACAAAACCTAGCACAAATAAGCCCCAAATATTAGTTAAATTAAGGAATCTATAAATAAATAAAATATTTTCCAGAGAGCCTAAGGAATACTTCCACTAATTACAAATTAAAATTTATATTTTTCAATAATTGATGGCTGAAAAAGCCCAGATTAAATGAAGAAAACAGTTTGAAAATTCAGATGATGTGACCAAAGTAGCCAGCATGATTTCTCAAACGATTGACTCCTATTTGTCATCTTTGACTCAAAACCTTCCAAAACATTTTTTGAAAACAGGAAAAACAAGCCAGCAGCACATCTCAGTTCCCACATATGACAAAAATAAAAATAAAATAAAATAATATAAAATAAATATGTCATTACAACAATTACTATATTCAGTACCTTTTTGACCTTGTTTTTTTTCTCAAAGGTCTCTGACAGAGGTTTTTTCTTCTGCTGAGTTGTGTCTTTGGAGAATAAATATTCAAATTCACTAGTATCCCGAATATCAGGTTCTTCTAATGACTCCCATAGGGTAGGTGTTGCATTTTGGCTTAAAAGAGAAAACGACAAGTTAAACTTAAGAATCAAACCAAAAGACAATGGAATACAATGAACGCTAAACAAAATTTGAACTCATTAAAAAATACATACAAAATATTTTTGTATATACAAAATACAAAATCTTAATAAAGCTTGGAGAGATGCTTAATGTGGTCAAAAATTTTTTCAAGACAAACTGTACTATAGAACATTAAAGCAAACACGCATTTCCAAAAATGTAGGGTCATTAGCACCACAGTGGCGCTAGAAACCCTGGGATTAGTTTAGCCAAAGCCATGTAAGCAGCAACTCCCTCAGGCTGTGGCATTTTTCTGAAGGCTGAAGATAGCTGATAGAATAATTGAATACTGATAGAATAATTCTTTAATAGAATGAAAATGGATTACTAAGATCAAGAGTCACCTTCAGATTTTTTCTATTAGTTTTAAATAAGGTTTTCGGGATTTTCCCAAGTCAACTCAGTGCAGGACCCATAATAAGTGGCCAGGCTGTGCTCATTTAGAAATACTTCATTTTTAAGATCCCACCCCAAAAACAGTATTAACAAGAAAAACAACCCCAAAACTCCACTGCACCAGTACTCATAGGGAACTCATCTAAAGCAGCCATGGGAAGACCATGATCTGCTTTTGTTTTTAAAAGCAGGGATACCCTAGTTTTGAAACAAAGAGAGGGAAGACATGGAAAATCAGGGACAGAAGAATCACCTCTGAGAGCCGACTCAGAAGGGTTATGACCCAGGCTCCCTTCAAGCAGAACACATCCTCTCTCATATGTCTACTGTCTTACCTTACTCTTACTGTCCCTAGACATTGTTTTTCAAACACAAGAATAATTATATCCATAATATCGAAAAATATTTTTCTTTTTTTCAACACCTATTTTCTTAAACAACAAAAACCAAAAGAACTATTACTATATGGATACTAAAAGGTGATCTTCACATTCAAAACAGTTGGCAATACTGACTTTTTAGGTCTGTATCTTCACATTTTGCTACAGATTTGCTTTTTCCATTAAATATGACATTTTGGCTGTGGCCACATTCACTTTTTTTTTTTTTCAATTACACTTATAATATTTGAGCCATTCAAAAGTATCTGTGACCTATGTGAGTCATAAAGCATAATGATCAAATGAGTATCTGTCAAATTACCCATGGCTAGAACAATTTCAATGAAGTTCATCCAGCTACATGTTGCTCCCCCCTCCCCTATTCACTTCACTTCAAATAGAAGCACAAACACCATTAATGTTAATCGCCATTAATGTTAAGGGCTTATCTTAGCCACATTCAGGAAGGGGTTTTTTTCTTTTTCTTTTTTATTAAGATTTATTATTTATTCATGCATACAAGAACTGGGGTACAGGCCAGATGTGCAGGAGGGTGAGGAGTCACCAGAGACAGAGCAGGGAACAGAACAGGCAGACTGACTGAAATACACTGCTAAGGGGAGCAGCGGGTGAGACAGGAGAGGTCTGCTGCTCCATGTGGGTATTTCCCCTGCTGGCCGGATCAAACCCGTGCTGCAGGGGCTGCAGGCAGCCTCACAGCACTGCACTCAACCCGCTGCGCAACATGGGAGGCCCAAGCAGGGGGATCTTGATGGGAGAAGAGAGTCTGGGAAATTTGGAGCAGGTGACCTGTTAAGGCTGCTGGCTTGGGCTACACAAAGGTTCTGGGAAAATAAGGGGATGGTCTCTAGAGGGAGGTGACATGAGGCAGAAGGCTGACTGTTCACACCCAGTACCCACACTCCCACCTCCTGCACCTGTAAGGCTTGGCCCCAGCTCCAAGGACTCTACAGGCCAATGGACTAGAGCTACAACTCATTCATATTCTGCAGTAGATAGGAATCAAATAGAACACTTCATCACTATTCACCACATTGATTCCACGAGAAAGGCATTTCCAATAATGAATAAAAGAATTTTAGAAAATTATTTCAAGGTGAGTTGGGAGCAACTGGTATTTGGTGGAACAATAACACTCAATTCACACTGGACCATAGTGATCAACTCTTTTCTGACCAATGAATATAGATGTCTAGCTCCAAGTAAGAGGGAGAAGGAGGAAGGGGAAATTAAAGGGCGAAAAGGAAGGTAGAGGAAGGGGTGAAGATACTGGAACATTAACTAGGAAGAGGCGCATAAGAAGATACTTAAGACTGGGCCTCCCTGGTGGTGCAAGGGGTTAGGCACCGCACTATGAAGCAATCCACAGTCTCTGGAGCACGAGTTCGATCCCTGGCCAGCCAGAGAGCAACCCACATAGTGAAGCAGATCTCTCCTGTCTCTCCCGCTGCTCCCCTCAGCAGTACATTTCACTCAGTTTGCCTGTTCTGTTCCCCACTCTGTCTCTGGTGAATCTTCTCACCCCCGACATCTCTGGCTTGTACCCCAGCTCTTGTATGCATAAATAAATAAATCTTAAAAAAAAAAAAAAAAGATACTTAGGAAACTCCTCAATGAAGCTAAATACCTTTTTCTTTAATTAAAAGCCTTTTTCCTAGTCTAGAAACCAAAAAATAGATACCAAAGAAGATATGACAGCAAAAGTGAAGAACTAGTTCATGTCTGTAGTGGAAGCTATCCAGGTGGATGAGAGGTGGGTACACAAAGTGGAGAAAATTCATATCTTACTCCTGGCCCCTCACAAGATCAAGAGCAAACTTTGTTATGTGGACATTATACAAAGTGCTTGCCCTTGGTTGTGCAAAGCTAACATTAAAATACCATTTCATATCCTTTAAAAAAACACATTCCAATCATTTTACTTCTGCCCATAAATGAATACTATGCAGAATCTTCAGACCATTTTAATTTAAAAGAAGTAGTCTGGGGCCTCCCTGGTGTTGCAGTGGTTGAGCACTGGGATGCGAAGTTGCCCGCAGCCTCTGCAGTGCCAGTTCTATCCCCAACCGCCAGCGAGGGTCCCACATGGTGCACAGACCTCTCCTGCCGCCCGCTGCTCCCCTCAGCAGTGTACTTCGTCACTCTGCCTGTTCTGTTCCCCGCTCTGGCTCTGGTGAATTCTCTCACCCTCCCGCGCTTCTGACTGTACCCAGTGCTTGTATAAATGAATAAATAAATCTTAAAAAAATAAATAAATAAAAGAAGTAGTCTGAGGCACCAGAACAACATTTTGAGGGGTCCACACTGAGAGACTAACTGCGTGCAATAGGAAGTGACCTATTGGGTCTTCCCACACCCCAGTGGGGCAGCCTCCACCAAGCAGGGCTCCCCTGACGTGCATTAAACGAGCACCTTATATCTTCTTCTAAGTGTGTCTCTTCCTAATTAACATGTATGTTCTAGTATCTTCCCCCCTCTCCCTGCCCACTTCTTTTCCTTTCCCCTTCCTCCTCCTTCCTTCATACAAGTAAGAAAAGTTAGTACATTCTCTACTTTTTAATTTTGCTCAAAACTGAAGCCTTAGATTTATGGTTCGCTAATTTAAGAGCATGAGTATTGAAGTGTTTTCTTTCTCAAAATGGCCAACCCCATATGGAGGAAAAGGACAGACACAGATTCTCTCCAGCTCTTGAGGAGCGAGCGAGGGCACAGAGCTCCCAGCAGCACTGGGAAACCACTGCTCTGATCTGGGGCTTGGTCACTCAGAGTGTCGCAGGGGATGAAGAGGAGGTGGCTAGAGAGAACGGCAGGGGACACGCTACTCCGGGGCTGGCAGGTGGGGCTCATCACCCTGACATGGCCCCACATGAACTTGAGAACACTAATAAGGGGACGCGACTCCAAGTGAATATTCTGGGAAATTCTTTCTTAGAAATGTCATCTGAGTCTTGAATGGGAACAGGGGAATACTAGTACTTTAGTTAATGGGAGAAGTTATTTCAGAATCAGTTCATGGTGTTTTTTTAAATTTGTTTTTAACTGTCCCTTTGGGAAATCATAAAGTATCAGCATTTTAAAAATGTATCGGGGTTTTCCCATGAATAAACTCTCGGCCCTTATTTGGAGAGGGACCATATGAAGTACATAATTAACTTGTGCACTTTGCCACATGCTTAGTTGTAAGGTGTTTCCCCCTCCCCTTCTGGTGATTTCCAGTTGTTTTATAATTGTGAATTGCATGTTATTTCATTCAATATCCTGCCTGCCCTGAGTAAAACATTATATAATTTGAAAAACTCACCACCCCTTTTTGATTTGGGGAACAATCTCAAAAATTGAAGTCTAAAAATGTGGTCCACATTTGCTGTTCTTTGAAAATAAATGAGTTTCAAACCTAGAGCATGGTTAGCAACCAACCTAACCTGACTTTCATTGTCCTCCTGACAGGTCCTGAAATGAAACAGGAGAAACCTGATGCACACCTGTATGCAGGGAAGCAGCAGAGCAGCTACACCTTCCCGGCTTACAGACCCAGCTTAACAAGCCATCTGAATGGAAGGCGCTTCCTAGCTGGCCACACACTGGCACTTTCTCTGAAGGGCAAGAGGATGCAAAGGTGCAAGGGCATTCACTCTGCTTCCCAGAATTCAGGTAGTGTGTATTTTAGAACGCCCCTTGGACCAGAGGAGCTAATGACTCATCTGTGTCTGGTCTTTTAATACAAAATGAAAAGTGACACCACCTGCTAAATATCCAGGTCAAGGTCATAGGGGCAATGATACCATCTTAAGAAAAAACAGATATTCTAAAAATCTTCAGTGAACTACAGCCCAGATTCAGGTGCAAATCTTTATAATTACCCACGTGTCACAAGGATGTTGAAGGCCCTAACTGAGACCTGCATGTGCTCTTCGTTTTTTTTTTAAAGATTTATTTATTTCTGCATATAAGAACTAGGGTGTAAGCCAGAGGTGCTGGGGGTGACAGGATTCACCAGAGAGACTGGGGAGCAGAACAGGTGGATCCACTGAAATACACTGCTGAGGGGAGCAGTGGGCGAGACAGGAGAGGTCTGCTGCACCATGTGGGTCACCTCCCTGGCCGGCTGGGGATCGAACTCATGCTGCAGTGGCTAGTGATAGCATGATAGCACTGAGAGCTAACCCCTGTGCCACCAGGGAGGCCCTCTTCTCGGGTCTGTAAAAGGCACCATTTATCTCAGAGAAATCTCCGACACCAAATACAGCATTTCTCCCATAATCAGCCCATAGAGATTACAAAGAAGATCCGGGAGAAACATTCTCTCTAAAACATTCCAATCTTGCTTATCCAAGGTATCCATTACCACATTCGAGAAAGAGTACTACAACATGCAGACATTGTACAGGTAAGAATAAAAGGTCACTTGTGGGGAATCCTGTGAATTCACAAGTTGAGAACGGGCCAGGGGAATTGAACTCACCTCTTATCACTTATCTGTATTCTAGTCCAGTACAAAGGCTTCATGGGACAACTGGGCTCAATGGCTGGTTTCCGAGGACATTGACTCGAAGGACCCACTCCAAAGAAGAGTCCCGGAGGAGGTGGGGGTGCAAGTCCTGGGGGTGTTGGAGGAGGAGGAGGCCCCCCACTACTGGGGGGCACAGGGAAGTTAGGAAGTGGTGGTGGGGGAGGAGGAGGGGGCGGCCCAGCACTCGGAGGCAGAGGAGGTGGTGGTGGTGGTGGTGGGGGAGGCGCTGGTGGCAAAGGTTCAGATCCAGGTGGGAGCGGAGGAGGAGGTGGGATCGCTGCAGGTAGGGGTGGTGCAGGAGGGGGAGACGATGCCTTCTGCTGACTGGATAAGGTGCCTTCCACAGACGGAAGTGGTACATGGACATCTTTGCTGTCATTTGGGGGAGAGAGTTGGCTTAACGAAGAGATATTCAGCTTTTTGGGTATGATTTGGTTACTCCTGGTTGTCTTGCCTTCGGCTTCACAGGGTTTGAGGAAAGTCTCTCTGTCTGTCTGGATGCACACATTCCTGTAGGTCTTTGGAGGGCAGTCATCGTGGGTGGAGATACACACATCTCTCATCTCTTCGCATCCTCTTCTCCATCGGTGTTCGATCTCCTGTTTGAGATTTTCAATGGTTTCTTCTAGTCTCGCTGTGCTCTCTGCATGCTCCCCCCGGATGTGAAAGGTCTGAAGTTCAAACTGAGCCTGTAGGGTTAGCAGTGGAAAGGAAAGAGTTTATTAAAATAAATATCAGAAATAAAAAATAAAATCCTAATACCATCCCCATGGCACCACAGCCCAGCCCACATAAAGATGAGAAAGCAGTGCCAATCTCTGGGGACTCCAATAAGGTGTGGGTTTCACCTTATGAATTTTCCAAGGACTTCAACAGTTGGAGTAGAAGTGTCATTTCATCCCATTTGAGTTTATGGGGAATAATTACTATGGATTAAGGTTTAAAGTAAAACTGTCACCTAAGAACTTTCACCAGGTTTTAATATCAAATGCAAAACAAAACTTTTAATAAAAGCTTGAATATGCTCAAGTATGTCTTTGATTATTTTTGGCTTTGGCATTGAAGAAGAAACCTTTATAGAAAAAAAAAAATAGGCTGGGCAGTCCTCTGACTTGGAGCTCCTGTTCTCACAATCATCCTTAGAATGTCTCCTCTATGGGACCGCAGGGCCAAAACAGCAGAAACCAAAGATACGAGAAAAAGTTGACACTTGTATTTTTGAAAAGGTCCAGTGGCAAAGCTGCCCATGATCAGTTTTGGTTTGTTTCATAATCATTTATCGTATAGGGAAGAAGTGATATAAATGAATAAACATTAGAATGTGAGATTTGCTATTTTTCTCTTCTGCATACCCAGCACTTGATTTTTTTTTTAAATATTTATTTATTATTTATACAAGCACTGGGTACAGTCAGAAGCACAGGAGGGTGAGAGAATTCACCAGAGCCAGAGCAGGGAGCAGAACAGGCAGACTGACAAAGAAATACACTGCTGAGGGGAGCAGCGGGCATGGCAGGAGAGGTCTGTCATGCCATGTGGGACCCTCGCCGGTGGTCAGGGATCGAACCGGTGCTGCAGAGGCTGCGGGCACCTTCGCAGCCCAGCGCTCAACCTCTGCGCCCCCAGGGGAGGCCCCCAGCACTTGATATTATATAAGACATCAGTCAGCCTTTTAACACTTATATCTTCAGATATTAGTCCTTGGTTTTACACTTATTAGCACAGAGTTGGTTTATTCTTAATCATTAATCAATTTCCCAGCATGCAAAGTCATTTAGCCTATTATAGTTAACTGGGAAGCAATGAAATTTACAATTTTTATTAGTTTCCAAAATCTAATTTACAGTAATTAAATAACTCTGGTGCATTTATTTAATTTCCTCCTTCTCCATTGGCTTTTAAACTCCAAAGATGAAATCAGGGACTGTATCTGCCTTTACTTCTGGATCCCAGAAGCAAGCACAGCAAATACAGATTTGAGGAGATGGATGGATTAAAAACCACTGCAATCATTATATTCACTGTCATTGACCTGAGAGCCTTCTTTATGCCAAATAAGACTTTCTTCACTGTAACTTCAGACCACAAATATCTAGAACACCAAAATGTGTGCAAGCACATTTTTATACTTTTAGCAGGTAAAGCAAAAACATAGGAAGATTCTTTACTTTCATTAAAATAATTTGTAATTATATTTCTACTTTGTTTACTTTTTCCTTCACAACCCAACCCCCCAAAAGTATGGTCAACAGAGTAGAGATAGCGTTTTCCTAAAGGTGATCTTTATATGTGTGGGGATGGTGCCTTGATGTGACTCTGGATGAACCAGTGAGTTCAGGGCACTGTCACAGCACAGAGGTATAAGCATCTGAGGTCTGGATTCATGCTACCTGGTTCACAACCTGACCGAGGTGTGAAAGTTCTATGACATTGGGCAGGAAAGTTCTATGACATTGGGCAGGAAGCATCATGCCTTCAACCTGGAGTTATTTCAAGTGTAAAGTGAGGATAACAGGGGCCATCTTTAGGGTTTTCATAAAGGTGCAATAAAATACTTCATATAACACAGGCATTGTGCCAGGGACACAGTAAGTCCTGAAAAAATTGTTACAGTTGGTCACTGCTGCTAATGTCAATATGAGAAGAAGAGACAAAACAGATTTCTCACCATTCTTTAACATTTCCAAACAATGCCACTTTTGTGGAGTAATAGGCACAAAACTTGGAAAAGCTTAAGCAGTCATGATAAACTATGTACTATGAATACAAAAGTTTACCCAATATTTCATGAATTTTACTACCAACTGCCTAAAAGTAGTTCAAGTTTTATTCAACTATGTGTTCAAAATAATTATTGTTTCAACATCCCACCCATTTCCCTTTATGTCTCCCTCTCCTTCCCCTGCCCACCTTCAGCCATACCCTAGTCCAAATTTCCATCCCAAATGACTTGCCCACATTTTCATTTCACTTTAGTGAATAATTCAGTTCTGCCCATGGCAAACTAACTCTCCAGTGTTGTTGCTGGCTAACCCACTTCCAAGAAGGTTAAGAGATAAATAATACTAAGGAGTCAATATTCAACTTCTTATTAATATGAAAAAGCTGCAAAGATATGTTCCACAGAGAAACTTCCCTTTTATCACAAAACCGACCTGTGTCTACAGCCAAGGCTCTAGTCCCCAGCTCTCAATCAATGGCCTTCTGTATCTCCTGAAGGTAACAGGTAAACCCACATATGTTTTGGCGTCTTTGTAGCACATTTGCTTAGCGTAGTGGGAAGAGCACAGACAGGGCTCTCTAGCACCTTCCTCTATTCTAATAAAACAAAAATAAAGATATCAAAATCCTTCCTTAATCCCTCCCAGCTGTCACCTTACCCTACCTCATTCTCAGAATTGACAAAAAAAATTTTTTTTCAGCAGACTTTTTGAATAAGCACATATCTCTAGCTCTCTATTTTCCCATCCATTCCCCTTTCAAGCATTATAAGAAGAGCAGGAGGCTTCTGCTTCCTCTCTTATTGAAACTTCATGGTTTGATGGTTACATTGGGTGAGCACTCAATTTTGTCTACTCAATTGTACTGTCAAAGCACATGTCCAATCCTTGAAGTTTTCTCTGCTCTCCTAAACTTGTGACATACTTTCTCCATCCATCCTACAGCTGTCTCCAGTTAGTCTGTGAACTCCTCTTACTCCATTTCCTCCCTAAAAGTTGTTCCCCAGGCATCTTTGCCATTTTTCACTCTTGAACTACACAGTCTCCTTGGGGGTCAACTTGTATATTCATGCGGTAAATGGAATTCGTTTACTATACATTATAACTAACTTACAAGTTGGTACCTTAAAACCATAATTCCAACTATCTTCTGGACTGGCCTACCTGAATATTTAACCGGTTATCTCATATTCAACATGTCTGTAAAATAAATCATGAGTGACAAATCTCAGTTATTCCTCCTTTGAAATTCCTCCTTGCAGTGAGTTCATGGTATCTTGCTCAACATTTTCCCAATCATCATATCCAGAAACCTGGATGTCATGCTAGATTCTTTGCTCTTTTTCATTTACAATGTATTACTTATCAATGCGTTTCATTAATTTCTCTGATTCATTCCTTTCCTTTCATCCCCACTGCCTCAGCTTTCCATTGGGTCCTCTTTACCTGAACAATGAAGAGCCACCAAACATAATTTTCCCCATCCCAGGTTAGCCACCGTGGCTCCAGAAGGCTTTTTTAATGCAGGTATTTATCTCTTCAAACGCTTTTAATAATTGGGCAATAAAGATTACCGCTAAAACTTTTCTTAAGGACACACTGAAAGGTCTTCCAGTCTATTTTCTGCCAAATGTCTGCTCCTTTCGCTCCTGCCCCTTTCGTAACATGTCCTGTATTCTAGTCTCACATAACTTCTTGACTCTCCCAGGGCCATGTTCTTTCATATATCTGGGCTTTTGCAAATGTCATCTTTTCTCAGGACCCTCCTCTGCTGCAAACACCCAAGGATAAGGGGACAGATTACCAAACATCGATTCCATGAATGACTTCCTCACAAACTATCATCACTGTACTAGAGAATTACTAAATAAGAAGCTAGCAGTGGATTTCCAGTCCTTTGTAGCAAATATGCTAAGATTACAGTCAGAAATCCACTGACCACTAAAATGTAAATGGCCCAATTTACCTTTCCCCCTTCTTTGCCTCATCATTCCAATGGATCTTGGTTGTCTTCATGAGCCCAGCATGACATAGTAATTCCAATTGATTAAAATACTAAGCACCTCATTTACTATCTGCCCATATTCTACTTACTATTTCAAATCATGCCTGGCTTTCCAACAAATGAAGTATCTCAAATCCATGCATACCATGAATCAAGTCTTAGAGAAAGTGAAATTTTGACTCATTTCCCACTGTTCTCCCTGTAAGTGCCACTCCACTTTGTACGTGGGAACCACATACTGCTACCTATCTTTTATCTAGAGCCACAGTTGGAAAGACTGTTCATGATTTGATCAATCAAACACAGAGTAGAACTTTCTGTTTGATAACAGGTAGTAATCTTGAACAATCTTTGTCCATGATCCTGAGAATCTTTATGAAATATCAGATCCAAAAAGCTATTACAGTCAAAATCACACACAAGGAAGGCTAGGTCAAGGAAACAGTGATTTTAACCCCCATTAACTCTCTTTTTATTCTCTTTTACTTTCACATTAAACATGGCACTTGTACACAGAAGATAAGATGATTATAAATCCTCTAGTTGTTGTTAGATAGGACATATGAAGTCTTATGATTTTCCTGCTCCCTGACCCATCTTGCTGAAAATCTTTTTCTTCATTCACTTCAATACATCATATGAAAGGAGACAAGTGCTAAGTTTGATATCTTTCCAAGTCTACCCAGTTTTATCTACCATACTTCAAGTTTTATCTACCTTCCTTTCCTAGTAACTTGTTTGTATTTTTTCTATTTTTGGAAGCATTCAATTCTATTACTTTCATTTTTTAATCACATCTTCATTCCACCAGCAATAGTCTATTAATCTATATCCTTCTACAGCTTAGCAAGACTCAAAGTCACAATCTTTAAGGGAGCAATTCCAATTAAAATCATTTTGTTTCAATCATCCCTTCCCTTGACTGGAACTATTTTTACTTAGTGGTAGTGGTTCTCAGTGGTTC